CCTCAGCTTCTGGTGGACGGGTTTGCACCTGGGATCGACATTGGGCCGGTGGGAGGCCACTTGGGGTCGATACCCTCCATGTCTTCGTGGGACCAAACGAAGACATTCATGTTCCTTCTGAGGAAGTCTATCAGGTCAGATGCTTGTTCCTGGGGAAAGTGAGGAGCCTATATAGATTCTCCTCTCTGAAAGACTTTCATCCACCGTTACCGGTCAAACTTCTTCTGCGGGTTTCCCTCTCTTCAAGGTGTTGTCATCTCTCGACTTAAGTACTTCAACTTGGAGAGTCTCATGTGGCTTCTGGCTCTCATAGAGGCCACATAGCATTCCCGAGTGAAGACCTGATCTCTCCAATCCCACTGGTGGTTTAAAATGGAGGAGAAGGTGGTAAGTGGACAGTATTGCCCTTAAGGTATTGAGAACAGGGCGTTCAAGAATAATATTATAGGCAGAGGGACAATCAAGTACAATAAAATTTACCATGATGGTGGAACTCCTTGATGTTATTCCTGCTATGAGTGATAGGGAAATGGATCCCAAGGGATAAACCTTCTCCCCCGAGAAGCCAACAAGGGGAGTCCTAGGTGAAGACTATCAAAGGCTGGTGCAAACAAAATGTCAGCTGAGCTGCCGTTGTTGACCAAGATTCTCTTAACCTAGTAGTTGGCTACCATCAATGTTAAGACTAGAGGATTATCATGTGGGACTTGGATCCCCTTAAGGTCCTTGTCCAAGAAGGTGTTGACCTCTTCCTCCTCGTGCCGGGGTATCTTCGTCGGGCAAGAGTCATGTGACTCTGCCTGTCTGGCTTTTCGGGTGTGTGCTTTTCTGGCGGAGTTGGAGTCACTTCCTCCTCCTAACCCTCCAGCGATAGTTTAGATCTCTCCGAGGGGTTATTGGTGCTCTTGATCCTCCTGATTCTGGCCGGGTGGTGGAGTTGGTCCTCGGCCAGCAACGTATTGCTTTAGTTAGTCACACTGAATATTCTCCTTGATCTGCCTCTTTAACTCAAAGTAATCGTCAGTGTTGTGGTCGTGGTCGCGGTGGAGGCGATAATACTTCCTGTAATTTCTGCGGTTTGGAGCGGACTTCATTTTTCTAGGCCAGCAGAGCATGGGGTCATCCTGTATCTGGAACAGGATGTGCTCCATCGAGGTGTTGAGTAATGTGAAGGGTTGTCATTCTCTCAGGGGTACGGAACTGAGACGGTCTTTGACATAGACTCTCTCGATTCTCTTTCTCTTGTTCTCTACCTCTCGCTTGTCTTCACAGGTGTCCTTCCTTTTTTTCCCCTCCTTGGGAGGACTCACCTCGACGGGCCTTGGTGATGTCCTCGGCATTCATGTACTTCTGCGTCCTTGAAAGCAACTCAGACATGCTGAAGGGCGACTTCTTAAGGACGGAGAATATAAAACTAGAGGAGCATAGACTCGCAATGAAGGCGGCCATGTTTACCTTATCGTCTACTCCTCGATCTGGAGAGCCTCCTCGTTAAAATGAGTAAGGTAGCTCCTATGACTTTCATCCTGGTCCTGCTTGATGGTGAGTAGGTGGGTCACCGAATTTTGGTGTTGGCGTCCCCCAATGAAGTGGGAAACGAAAGACTTGTTTAACTCTACAAAAAAGTGGATGAAACCACTAGCATGTGCATCTCTTGAGGGTAGTAGGGAAGACTCTACACATAATCTTATCAGGCACGTTGTGGAGTTGCTTGAGAGACTTATAGGTGTCGATGTGATCAAGAGGGTCTTTGGTACCGTCGAAGATCTCGATGGCAAGCATCTTGAACTTCGAGGGTAGGGGTAATTGACAATAACTGCAACGAACGAGGTATCAATGTGCTTTACCAAGTAATCCACCGTCTCTGGCGCTTGTGCTTTGATGGCGTTGAGGGCATCACCGAGTTAGTTTTGCACTTCTCTGATCTTCTTGTCCCATTGGTTGAGGACATCCTCCCTCGGGTCATTGTAATGGCTTTCATGATTGGCATACTAGTTTTCTCCCTCGTCCTCTTGCGCAGGCACATCAAGAGAGGGAACACGTGNGGGACATCCTCCGTCGGGTCATTGTAATGGCTTTCATGATTGGCATACTAGTTTTCTCCCTCGTCCTCTTGCGCAGGCACATCAGGAGAGGGAACACGTGAACTTCTTGTGCGCTGAGGAGGGACTCCCAGGCGAAGGGCGCNAGGACATCCTCCCTCGGGTCATTGTAATGGCTTTCATGATTGGCATACTAGTTTTCTCCCTCGTCCTCTTGCGCAGGCACATCAAGAGAGGGAACACGTGAACTTCTTGTGCGCTGAGGAGGGACTCCCAGGCGAAGGGCGCCCTGGCACTGCCTGGGGGCGTTCTGGGGCAGGGCCCCACGGTGGGGGGCGGCTTCTCCTGTTGGAGGGAATGGTGCTCCTTCTACAGGCTGAGGGGTGACTGTTATCTGAATCTTATATTAACAATTTACGTGTAAGTATACATGATCAACAAGTAATAAAGTGATAAGTAGAGTATCGTTCCCACAGAGAATTATCACTAATAAATTCTAAGTACTAACTTTGTATCAATTCAATCTTATTTAAGCAATTGGAATTGAACTATGAAATGATTAATTGAAAACTAAATCTAAACTTAATAATCAATGATTGAATTTACCAGATAAAAGAACTTAAGATTACAACTTCTACTAATGTTTCGTATAAATCTTTTCACTCTCTTTTTAGTTAATTGATCAAAAAAAGTTATTAACTGAGAATTCAAAATTATTTATCAAACCTCTTCTAGTAGTTAGATAAAAATACCTCTTCCAATTAAATTATTATATTCCTATGAAAAATAAGTTAGAATAGATTCATGAAGTTCAAACTCTCATAAAAGTTACACAGGCATATATGTTTATTCCTATCCTATACACAAATCCAACTATTCAATCCTAAGAAGAATTAACCAGACGCATGTTATCATATTCAGATCTAAACCTAGAATTTATTTCTCAATTTTATCTAGGAAATCAAATTAATTGCTAGCCATAAAATTATATATTAAGCACAAAATATGATAAACAACTTATATATAATCCATAAGAATTAGAAACAAAAGTAGATCAATTTAACTAAACATCAAGTATCGTTTCAATCTTAATAAAAATTTAGTTCATAATGTAATTGAAAAACATCATTCTCAAATTAATCAACATCTTAGAAAATTAAAAACTAAATGTAAGAGAAAAGAATAAAAACTTAGTTGCAATCTTCAATTCCTCTCTAGCCTTCAAGTCCAATCTTCTTCGTGTTGCTTCATTCGATCCTTATCTTCAATTTTCCATCAATCCCTGGTTAACCCTCTATTACCAGCCTCTCATATCAGTATGTATTCATCCCAACTCAAACTCTAGTATATATATATCATTAGGGTTCAATTTCTACTCAAAAACAAGTCAAAATTCGCGTCCTGAGCCAAAACACGCGCTGCAACCCCACAAATCAGCGCAGCTGCGCTGACTTTTTGCCCTCCTAGAGCTGCAGCGCTGATCCCCTTTTGTGCCCACAACTGCCCTTGTTGCTTACTCTTCAAATAACCAAATGACCTTGTTTCCTTCCAAATGACATCGTTTCCTTCCAAATCATGATCCCTACAAAATAACAATAAAACAAACAAAAAAAATAAAAAGGAACATAAAATACTTGTCAACTTGCAATTTTATCAAGTCAAAAATACTCAATTCGTAGGTATAAAATCCACTCATCAGTGACGCCTCCCGAGGCAATCATCAACTGGATGATTTGCTGGTTCTAGTTTACCAGCAGTTGCATGGTCTGCAAAAGTTGTTGCCCGGCCACGGGAGTCGCCACAGTGCATGGTTCCACGGGTGCCGGCGGAGACAGAGCCTCTTTCCGACGGGCCGAGTTGTTGTCCTCCGATTGTTGACTCATCGATCTGGTCATAATTGTCATAGAGTAACAAGGTAGTAGGAAACTTAGTGGTTTTCTATAGACAACGTCAAACTGATGATACACAAAATAGNAGGTGCCGGCGGAGACAGAGCCTCTTTCCAACGGGCCGAGTTGTTGTCCTCCGATTGTTGACTCATCGATCTGGTCATGATTGTCATAGAGTAACAAGGTAGTAGGAAACTTAGTGGTTTTCTATAGACAACGTCAAACTGATGATACACAAAATAGTCTTGTGCAAGATCAACAGTCGAGTGTGTAGTATTATGAAATTAACGAAACAATTAATAGAGCAATCAATGGCAAAAAAAGGTAAATATCGAGTCAACACGCAGATTTATAATGGTTCGGTTCAAGTGAGCTACTCCACTCCGGGAAATTGCAACGGTGACTGGAGAACCTTGATTAATGAATAAAGTAATTGAGAAAAAGCTTCGGGAGAGATGTGCTCCAAAAGAGGTACAATAGCTAGGAAAGAGAAAAGTTATATGAGGGGTGTATGTGAAGAGGTGCCTCTCTCATGGAAAGAAGTCTTACAATTTATAGGCGTGAAACCTTGGTTGAGGCGGTGACGTGCAGATAAAGACACTAGTCTTTCAGGGAGGACATGTACAATAGGTAAGTAAAATTAAAATTATTTAGATCTTTGAGAGTAGGTATCTCAACGATCTCTCTCCCACGTACTCTTTTCTTCCTAAACTCCTTGAATCTTAGACTGAGTCAGACTAATAAACCGGCCTCTGCCTGCCTTTTTAGTGGATCTGGGCTTACTTGATTTACAAAGTTTAGCCCAATTAGATCTAGGCTCTCTTCAGTTAGTATTAGTTATCAAAAACACTTAATTAAAAAAATAATTTTTTTTTTTTTAAATTCTAAGTGTTAGAATTGAAAATTTCTAAACAATCTATACGGAACCCAAAAATTACAAATCTAAATACATATTATCCATTGGATAAGTAAATCTCACTAAAAAAGTTGATAGAACTCACTCATCTAAGAGATGATATGCATTTAAATTACAATTTTTTAAATTTTATTTAAATTGTGTAACATTACTCGTTAGAATTAGATTATCAAACACCTATTTAAAAGAACATTATCTTTCACCGTTGGAGTGCTGTAGGCAAATGAATAGGTAGGTCACAGCCAAAAAAAAAAACCCATGGGTGTACAGGAAAGCAATGGGGAAGGAAATGATAAAGCTAAAACAATAAAAGTTGATTAATTGCACATTTACTCATCCTAACTCTTACAAAATTGACTGTCCTAAAGTTCTTGAATTATCACAGCTGTCTCTTAAAGACTTGTCCAAAGCTTTGGCCCCGCCTGACCTAATTACTGGATCTGTCCCTTGCATTTGCATCATCATCAATAACCTTCTAAGAGTTCCGAGAGCATGGATGAAACACAGTGGGAGCTTCAACCTTCATTTTTAGACAATTGAGCTCCAAAGTGCAAATTGGCTTTGATAACATCACAGATATGATGAGTTTTTTTTCGTTTTCTCTGGGTTCTGCACTTCTCCAGTCCCTAAAATCAGAACATTGGCATTCTGAATATGTTTCTTTGTTGTTTTCCCGTGTAGATGTCCCCGACACCGACACTTTTGCTAGACGCGTTGCTCTCACCCTGTACATTAAATTGACCAGGAAGCATCGCTAATCATATGGTTTGCACTTGAAGGTTAAATGAAGAAACTTGATACCGAAACTTCATGCAACAAGATAAACATTGAACTTCATTTTAACTGGGGGAAAAAAAAAAAAAAAGAGACAGAGCCTCTTAAAGGCAGCGGATGTTTTGGACGTGGCTCTCATCAGAATACCAGTCAAAATAGCCCCGGCAATGAGTCTCCTCTAATAGACAAACATATTCTATAACATTGTATTCTAGGTGGCATTTTATACCCTAAAGGTTTCCAACATAATGGAACCAATGCAAAATCTAAAAATAGATTAATTGAAGAAACAAATAAATCAATTCGCCGCTCCAATGCTTTTATAAATTAACAATAACTATGCCATATTCAACGGTATCCTTTTCCACCCTTGTTTCAGCAATTAGGTAATTGGGCAATGTTCAATAGCTTTTATGCACAACAATAATTTCCAGAGCTCCTATGAACACAACATTTTCTGATGTTGCTAACAATAACTATGCCATATTCAACGGTATCCTTTTCCACCCTTGTTTCAGCAATTAGGTAATTAGGCAATGTTCAATAGCTTTTATGCACAACAATAATTTCCAGAGCTCCTATGAACACACAACATTTTCTGATGTTGCTAAGCTTGATGGAAGTCTGTTCGAAACATATTTTACATGCTATTTTGCCAGAAATATCCACATAAGTTGCCTGGCTGGACCTGTTAATTTCTCCTAGGGCAGCATGCATCAATTACTAGTGATATATTCTTGCTCTTAAAAACGAGGGTAAATGAGAAGCATATATTTCACATTGGAAGCAGAATAGACCTGCACTCAATCTGGCAAGAGTACTTAAGAAGGTGGGGATTATACTCCGTACGCCCACTGCAGAATTTTACAGATGGCAACAGTTAGTTTCTCAAATTAGAGTATAAATAGAAGCAAACAATTTTAGAACTTTACCTAAAGCTTGGAAGTGACATTTTCATAGCTGGACCCATCCATTTGCGGGTTTTCTGCTCTGATACTGCCATTCCTTAAGCCGAGAACCCAACATATAGTCATAAAATCCAGGAAACGTGCAGAAGGTTTACATTTGAATGCCTAAGTTATCCAAACTAGTAAAACACTGGGGCTGATTTTGTCATGTTCCATTAGAGAGAAGATTGGTCGTTGTAATTGAAAGATTTTACCAAAAGAAAGAGAATGAGATGCATTGACCTCTCTCTATTCACAACACAAAATTTGTAAAATTAATCCAAAATAAAATTATCCAGATCCTCCACTGAATAAAATATAATTTAGGAACAAGTAATGACAGCAACAAGATCCTATTTTTCCAGGTAGCTTGCTGATATATAAGAACTGAGAAATCAGAACTAAACACATAAAGTACTATAAGACAACTCACACCATAAAATAGGCAATAATACTACAGGAATCTCCTCAACAACTCACCAGCTGAGGTAAGGCTGATATTATAAATATCTGTTGCACCAAGACCCTTGATTTCAGTCACTTGAATGTCCATGCACTTCTTTTGGTTACAGGAAGTAGTACTAATGCCAATCATGTTTAAAAAACCATTTATCCTACTTTCTGGTTGCCTTGGAATTGCTGTAATGCTCTGCGAAGATAGAAGCAATGGTAGATTTAAAGTTTAAATGTTCCTCAAAAGATAAATGATTAATTTTGCGTGCAAATGTGGCTAACATTGGTTAGGTCGCAACTCTTTCATGAGCAAATCAAAATATGTGACCCACCTGTAATAGCCTTAGTATGGGACATGGTATGCAAGTGCTTACCTTATGCAGATAGGATGATCCTAGCAAATATGATAAAAAGGAACCCTTGTTTGAGAAAAGTTGATCAGTTGAAGAATTACATGCATAAGACAATCAGAACAACCAAATTGTTCGAACTTTGAAATACATTTCCATCTTAGGGAATCAAATGCTCGAACTTTACAATGTCGTGACAGCAACAATGAAGTAGTTAGCTCAGGGCCCCACCTTTGAAAACCTAGCAACTTGACTTGGAAGTCCCACATCCTGCATGAATCAGAGCAAGCAAGATAATTTAGATTAGGAAATGAAATCAAGCAAATTCAAACAGAATTACAAGCCAGCTCTCCTAAATTTTTCTATTTTTATTTTCATATTTCTTCGGGGAAAAATCCCGGCAGATGTTTAAATATCCCTCGTAGTACCAAAAATTATGAAATCTCATTCTAATGAAGTATAAGATGTCTGAATGCGGCTTACTACCTTTCGTCCATGAATGCATGCCTCAACACTGTTCACAAGCACCCTAGCAGCCCATCTGTTGATAAAAAGATATAAACCTACTTTTTATCACTACTAATAACAATCAACTCCAAATTATGTGGTTTCATGACCCACTTGATATGTGTCACAAAATCTTTAAAAAAAAGGGTCCGTAGTGCTTTGAAAGAGAGTAAATAGTCACATGCTTTTATTATCAGAAAGATTCTTTGATCAAATAAATTAGTGAACCTACTCGACACAATGGTGGCGAAGTTGATAGACCTAATTTAATTTCCAAAGTAATGAGCTAGTCTTGAGTGGCGGGCATCCACCTATATTTCTATATGCTGTTTGTCCTGCTAGCAAAATTCATACAACAATGAAGCCCACGAACCCAGACTAGCAGTCCAGACTTGTCTGAATTGTGCCAGACTTGTAAAGGCTTTGAAGTGGGTATCTTTACTAGCAGAGAAATTAATTGTGCATATTTCTTAAACAACATGATTTGCTATTATATTGGCATGGATTACAAGCAATAGGTGGAAACTTACGCACAAGACGTAGGTGGGTTCCATACAATTCCTGCGATCACCACAAGCTAAACAACATGGAAATTAAAATAACAAAGTTAATGCCGGTTGACAATTACATAAAATCAATGAAGTATTCTTTTCTTTTTGCTCTTCTGAAATGCATGTTCCAAGAAACTAATAAATGATCCAAAATTGGAATTTTGGATATCTCAACTTAAATAATTTCTAGCCATTGTAACACTCATTCAGTGACCTCATGTGATTTGATGAAAAATGATTCATCCAGGACGCAATTTCAAAGTAGAAGAGACAACCTCATCGAAGATTCCAGCAGGGCTGTCATCGTAACTTGCAAGAAAGAAGCCACCAAGAGTATAACTGCAAAATGCAGAGTACAAACTCCGGTTAATCAACAAGAAATGAACATTTTCAAACTCGACAATCATCCCCACCATTGAACCTTGTTTTGATAATAGTTATATACTGCACTTATAGTAATACAAGTACCCAAAAGCTTCAACTAATCTGAACTCTTTGGGGATGAAAGCTCGAGCAGTTTTTGCTTTCACAAGATGGAGCTGGTACAGGGCCCTGAAAAGTGCAAACATATTGTTTTATACACTACTCTTTCATGGTGGTCAACGAAAGATAGTTAAGTCAAATGGAGAAAGGAAAAAGTTAATCCTGAAGTGCAAGAGTACTTGCCTCCCTTTAAATATCCATGGAGGTTTGCCATACCCAGAAAGAGATTTTGTTTCTTTAACCTCCATGGAATTCAAATGGAACTTGAGTAGTTTTCCTGAAAGCGAGGAATTGGGAAACAATTACCATCAAAGAAGAGTCCAGATTCAAATTATTACTCCTTCATCCATGAGATGCCTACAGGAAAAAAAATTACAGGATAAAACTCATTATTTCTTATGAACAGAACAGATATTTTGCGAAACACCCACCTACCTGTGCATGTTGGAATAGAGTCCCCATAAAGCATTCATCATCGACAATTACAGAAATTTCAATAGTTATTAGGAATGTATCATTAAGAATATATTTACATTCAATGTATAGAGTTTAGGAATATATTTAGTTTCCTTGCTTTGAGTATCTTGACCAATCTCATGGTCATTCACGTGTGCTATTGTCTAGGAATTTTAGCATTGATTTAGAGATTTTGTCTCCTTCTCCATGTATATATATCCGGCTGTATCTTTACAATAAAATACACAAGAGAATTCAAGCCTTCTTCTCTTTCCCTCATAAGTTTAACATGGTATCAGAGCCTTAATTGGTTCCATTGTATTCCACCATGTCTGATCCATCAACCAACTCTCCCTCGGATATATCTTCTTCTGTCAATCCAACATCCTTTTCCGTTACAGATGTCTCCTCTCCATATTTTATCCATTTGGCAGATCACCCAGGAGAACTTTTAGTCTCAAATCTGCTCAATGGTGACAATTATTCCACTTGGAAGAGGGCCATGAAGATGGCCTTGAATGCCCAAAATAAGTTGGGTTTTGTCAACGGTTCCTTAAGCAAACAGACGTCTTCTTTAGCCGAAACTCAGTTGTGGGAGCGTTGCAATGACATGGTTTTATCGTGGATCTTTAACTCCATTGATAAAACTATCGTTAATAGTTTGATTTATCATGATGGCCCTCATGATGTATGGCTCGATCTTGAGGATCGTTTCTCGCAAAGCAATAATCCTCGAATTTTCAAATTAAAACGAGATATCTGTAATCTCACTTAAGATTCCATGTCCATCTCGGCATATTACACCTCTCAAAACCTATTGGGATGAACTCAGCACTCTAGCCTCTAATCTAAAATGTACTTGTGGTGCACTAAAGGAGTTGACTCTTACGCAAGACTTTGAACATGTTTTCCAATTCCTAATGGAATTACATGAATCATATGCTTCGATTCATAGCCAAATTTTGGTTATGGATCCCTTACCTCCTGTTACCAAGGTTTATGCAATCTTGCACCAAGAGGAGAAGCAACGTCTCCTTCATCTCTCCAGTACTCAACCAGGTTCTGTTGCGATGGCTATGTACCGAAATTTTTCTAATACCTCTTCTCATATTCCGGATGGTAAGGGACGTGGGCGTGGTCGTCCAAAGTGTGAACACATTGGACGTGATGGTCATTGGAAGTCTAGTTGTTATTAGTTGCATGGTTATCCTAACAACAAGTCCCAATCTCGCTTCCCTCAAGGACCACATGATGGCGATTCCTCCCCGGTTGCAAATAATGTCGTGGGATCTTCCAATTTACCCACCGAGAATGGTATTCCAGGCCTCACAAGCGAGCAATATCGCCAACTCTTGGATCTTTTATCGCCCTCGAACTCTGCAATCTTTGCTGGTAATATTGCCTCCTGTCATTCTGCTTCTTTTCCCTTTACTCTGAATGGGTTGTTGATTCTGGTGCATCCGATTACATGACTTCGAATTTACCCTTTCTTGAGAATGTTCACAATCTAGAGAGGCCATGTCCTATTAAGCTTCCGAATGGTGAAGTTGTTTCCATAACTCATGTTGGGACAATACATTTTTCTCATGACATCTTTCTCTCTAATGTCCTTTATGTGCCTTCATTTAAATTCAATTTATTATCCATTAGTAAACTCACAACTGCTCTCAATTGTGTTGCCATTTTTTTCTCCACTTTTTGTGTGTTTTCAGGACTTATCAACGAGGAGGCTGATTGGAATGGGTGAAGTACGAGATGGACTTTACTACTTCAAGCCTTTCTCTGCTTCTGCTCTTCACAGCCAACGTATTTCTGATTCTACCCTTTGGCACCAGCGCCTTGGTCATCCTTCCTTTCAGTGTGTTCCAAAAAATTTAAATATTTCTAGCTCTCATTTGTCTTGTGATGTCTGTGCTCGAGCAAAGCACACTCGTTCACCTTTTTCATTGAATACTAATAAGAGCACATTTTGTTTTAATCGGATTTATTGTGACATATGGGGTGGTTACTTTACACCGTTAACTTCNTGCAAATAATGTCGTGGGATCTTCCAATTTACCCACCGAGAATGGTATTCCAGGCCTCACAAGCGAGCAATATCGCCAACTCTTGGATCTTTTATCGCCCTCGAACTCTGCAAACTTTGCTGGTAATATTGCCTCCTGTCATTCTGCTTCTTTTCCCTTTACTCTGAATGGGTTGTTGATTCTAGTGCATCCGATCACATGACTTTGAATTTACCCTTTCTTGAGAATGTTCACAATCTAGAGAGGCCATGTCCTATTAAGCTTCCGAATGGTGAAGTTGTTTCCATAACTCATGTTGGGACAATACATTTTTCTCATGACATCTTTCTCTCTAATGTCCTTTATGTGCCTTCATTTAAATTCAATTTATTATCCATTAGTAAACTCACAACTGCTCTCAATTGTGTTGCCATTTTTTTCTCCACTTTTTGTGTGTTTTCAGGACTTATCAACGAGGAGGCTGATTGGAATGCGTGAAGTACGAGATGGACTTTACTACTTCAAGCCTTTCTCTGCTTCTGCTCTTCACAGCCAACGTATTTCTGATTCTACCCTTTGGCACCAGCGCCTTGGTCATCCTTCCTTTCAGTGTGTTCCAAAAAATTTAAATATTTCTAGCTCTCATTTGTCTTGTGATGTCTGTGCTCGAGCAAAGCACACTCGTTCACCTTTTTCATTGAATACTAATAAGAGCACATTTTGTTTTAATCGGATTTATTGTGACATATGGGGTGGTTACTTTACACCGTTAACTTCGGGTGCACATTATTTTTTGACCATCGTAGATGACTACTCCCATGCTACATGGGTCTATCTTATGTGCCTGAAATCTGATACCTTTACATGTCTTAAAAATTTTTGCGTCCTAATTAACAACCAATTCAACTGCACCATTAAGAATATACGAACTGATAATGGCCTGGAATTTCGCTCTGATAAAATTCAGCAATTTTTTAACAACCATGGCATTTTTCATGAGCGAACATGTGTGGACACGCCTCAACAAAATGGCGTTGCTGAGCGCAAGCATTGTCACCTTCTTAATGTGGCTCGGTGTTTGCGTTTTCAGGCCAACCTTCCCATCTCCTTTTGGGATGAATGCATTCTCATTGCCACCTATCTCATTAATCGCACACCTTCTAAAAGTCTCAATCACAAGTCACCTTATGAGTTTCTTTTTCAAAAGTCACCGTCATATACACATTTGCGAGTATTTGGATGTTTGTGTTACGCACAAAAAGGCAAACAACATCGCGATAAGTTTTCCCCTCGAGCCCTTAGATGTGTTTTCTTAGGCTACCCTCTCCATCATAAAGCTTATCATGTATATGACCTTGAAAATAAAAAAATCATCATTTCACGAGATGTCACCTTTGAAGAGACTGTGTTTCCCTATCACCATTTGTCTCCACCTCCAACATGTTCCCCAGTCATTCCTCTCCCTATTCCCAAGCCCCCCTCTCCATCCACTGTTCCTGCACAAATAACTACCGCCTCCCCTATTTCCTCCCACTCATCGACACCAATATCCACACCCCTTCTATAGCCACAGACCCATCTATTCCCTCTCCATCCTCATCTTCTCCCTAAGCACAACCACAACCTAACCCATTGCCACCCTCTAACACTCTCTCACGACCAAAGCGAGTTGTCCAACGACCATCTTACCTCAATGATTACATATGTCCTCAGTCCTCCACGGCTTCAACTGCTTCAAGATCCTCCTCAGGTACAGTTCATTGTCTATCCTCTTTTTTATCTTATCATCATTTCTCTAATCGTCACTTGGCTTTTCTTTCTACCCTCTCACAACACCCCGAACCTACTTCATATTCTCAAGCTGTATGTTACCCTCATTGGCGTGATGCCATGACTGCTGAAATTCAAGCCTTGGAAGCTAATCACACTTGGATTCTCCAACCACTTCTACCTAAAAAAAAATCAATTGGCTGTAAGTGGGTGTTCAAAACGAAACTTCGGGCTGATGGATCCATAGAGCGACACAAAGCTCGCTTGGTGGCCAAAGGATACACTCAAGTAGAAGGCCTCGATTACCATGACATTTTTGCTCCTGTTGCTAAACTCGTTACTGTTCGGTGTGTTCTTGCAGTAGCTGCAGCTCGAAATTGGCACCTTCTTCAATTAGATGTCACCAATGCATTCCTTCATAGTGACCTCGATGAGGAGGTTTACATGACACCACCACCAGGTTATTGCATGCAAGGGGAGACTCGGGTTTGCCGTCTTCAAAAATCACTATATGGACTCAAGCAAGCATCTCGAAATTGGTTCTCCAAATTATCATCTGTGTTACTTATTGCAGGATTCAAACAGTCTCAAACAGACCACTCACTCTACATACTTTCTCAGGGTCAATCTTTCACTCTCATCCTTGTTTGTGTTGACGACATTCTTATGGCCGGCAACGATCTCTCCACACTTAACAAATACAAGTCCTTCCTTGCTCAAAAGTTCAAGATTAAAGACTTTGGCCAACTAAAATATTTTCTTGGACTTAAGGTCGCTCGTTCTCCAACTGGCATATTCCTTAATCAAAGGAAATATACTCTTGACATCTTCACTGATAGTGGTCATCTTGGTGCACGCCCTGCTCATTTTCCCATGGAACAAAATCTCAAGCTTAATGATTCTGATGGTGATCTCCTATCTGATCCAAGCTCCTTTCAACATCTTGTTGGTCGTTTGATCTATCTGACCATCACACGTCCAGATATTGTTTTTCCAGTCAATATTCTCGGTCAATTCATGCACCAGCCCAAACAACCTCATTATGATGATGCAGTACGTATTCTTTGGTATCTTAAAGCATCTCCAGGTCAAGGCTTATTATTTCCCGCTGCCAATACTCTTCAAATCTCGGCCCATTCTGGCACGGATTGGGCTAGTTGCCCAGTCACTCGTCGTTCCACCACAGGTTTTTTTATTCAGCTTGGCACTAGTCCTATTTCTTGGCGTACTAAGAAACAACCTACAGTTTCTCGCTCTTCTGCAGAAGCTGAATATCGAGCTCTTGCCTCTACTACATGTGAACTCACTTGGCTCAAAACTNTTAAGAAACAACTACAGTTTCTCGCTCTTCTGCGGAAGCTGAATATCGAGCTCTTGCCTCTACTACATGTGAACTCACTTGGCTCAAAACTCTTTTACATGATCTTGGTGTGCCACATCCTCAGCCCATGTTGCTTTACTGTGACAATCAAGCAGCCCTTCATATTGCTCAGAATCCTGTGTTCCATGAGTGTACCAAACACATCGAAATTGACTGTCACATTGTTCGTGAAAAAATACGGGCCGGTCTCATTTCCACTATGCATGTCCCTTCTCAGAGTCAACTTGCGGATATTTTTACTAAAGCTTTGGGTCGAGAACCATTCCAAGATTTATCGCGCAAGTTGGGCATTACGGATCTCCATGCTCCAACTTGAGGGGTAGTATTAGGAATGTATCATTAAGAATATATTTACATTCACTGTATAGTTTAGGAATATATTTAGTTTCCTTGCTTTGAGTATCTTGACCAATCTCATGGTCATTCACGAGTGCTATTGTCTAGGAATTTTAGCATTGATTTAGAGATTTTGTCTCCTTCTCCATGTATATATATCCGACTGTATCTTTACAATAAAATACACAAGAGAATTCAAGCCTTCTTCTCTTTCTCTCATAAGTTTAACAATAGTAAAACTCAGGGCCCAAACATAATAACCCATTAAAATATGCTCAAGATATTTTTGGACTGCAGTCCAACGAAATGACTCGGTGTCATCTACATAGCAAAGGTGGCAATTTTCAGTCTACATGCAGGCATTAACAATGCAAGTTGCCCAAGGGTTAATTGGATATCTATATGAAAGCAAATATCTCATAAAAAACTTTATATTGTCAATCATTGGCAAAAGCCATTAAGACGAGTTACACCTGGTGGATGAATGTTAACCAGACAATGGACGGATCCCCAACTTGATTAAAGGGCTTTAAGGAGATGGAGATCCAAATTCTAGACGAAACTAAGAACAATTGCACTTGTGTCCTTCACAAATTAAGGCCTCCATATTGAATTCAGGGAAAAAAGAAAGGCTTTCTGGGTCCAGAATTTCCATTGTAATTTAATTTTGTTCTAGGCATCCTCAATATAGTAGAGAATTTCAACAAAATCCAAATGCTTTCAAGTTATCCTCACTCCTCAACATCCAAAATTGATCTAAAATTACAAATGCAACTGGAGTCGGCAAGCAAGAAAAGAATAACCATCCCAAGGTATCAATGCCTCGGGCAAACAATCGACACATGAGAACATAAATAGGTAAGCATAGCAATATGGGAAACAGCAGAAGCACCCCCGGGGAAACAAAAAACAAAATGAGCAAAGCTCGAATATTTTTACTGTGAATAACACCCATACAGGTTCCTGAGATAGAAGATTTAGGCTAATTACTTGACTAGTTACTGAAAGAAGATGACAGACGAAAAGAAAGAACAAAAGCAATACTAATGTAATTTTTACTCACAAAGATTGAAGCTTTCAGCCACATACAGAAGTCTAGATGGAAACCCATAAGAGGTTGGTGTGTAGTTTGAGCGAGTGTTAAGAGTGTTGTGCTGACTGCTGTGTAGTAATGAACAAGGAGAGGGCGCAAGAGTTGCAGCTTTTAAGGAAGGAGAGGGAGACCGACAGAGGTAGCCNTGTAGTTTGAGCGAGTGTTAAGAGTGTTGTGCTGACTGCTGTGTAGTAATGAACAAGGAGAAGAGGGCGCAAGAGTTGCAGCTTTTAAGGAAGGAGAGGGAGACCGACAGAGGTAGCCAATGCTGGTGAGATCCATGACGTCAGCAACGAGCGAAGTGGATAAAACTAGTTTAGTTGTGCGTGCTAATGCTCCTTTTAGTTTATCCATCCCACCCTATGCATCCAATACTACCAATTAGTAGTCTAGTCTACTACTACATCCATGGTCATGATCCATCCATCTCCTTATTATGAGCTTTTGATTTGGCGCCAACTGAATGTAACAATTCCCATCCCACTCCCACCCAAACCCATCAACAAAACCACCCCCGTCCCAATGTTTTCTACTTCTTTTTTATTTATGATAGTAAGAAAAATAAAAAATTGGTCATTTCTATACAAATCTTGGATGATGTTTGTTTTTAATGATTTAGTTGTCCAATAATTAAACGCAATTTTTTTACCTGTTAACCTTCCTTTTGAGTCTATTAGCTTTCTTTTTTAGTTTCTTCTAAAACAAACAAAAAAATGCTATTACACCGTAAAAATAAATTAATTTTACCCAACTTTCAAATTCTCTAGATGCAAATTCTCTCTAANACTTTCCTTTTTAGTTTCTTCTAAAACAAACAAAAATATACTATTACACCGTAAAAATAAATTAATTTTACCCGACTTTCAAATTCTCTAGATGCAAATTCTCTCTAATGTATCTTCAATTTTTCACCATGNGCTTTCTTTTTTAGTTTCTTCTAAAACAAACAAAAAAATGCTATTACACCGTAAAAATAAATTAATTTTACCCAACTTTCAAATTCTCTAGATGCAAATTCTCTCTAATGTATCTTCAATTTTTCACCATGGAATTGGCTTTGGCTTCTGTTGAACAATTGAAGATGGAAAATATGGAGTAATCATAAGATTAATAAATTGTATGAAGAATTATTATTATCTGGTGGTATCCTCCTGAAATGAGAATACAAAGCTTCTTACCACAAAGACGTTCTTAAACTTCAACTCATTTAATTTTGTGGCTTAAAAGAGTTGGGGGGGCTTTAGCTTTAGTGCTTGTTGCCTGCGACTCATAGTAAAGGGAATGTTTCATTCTACTACAGTGGTTAGCCGNTGTTCTTAAACTTCAACTCATTTAATTTTGGGGCTTAAAAGAGTTGGGGGGGCTTTAGCTTTAGTGTTTGTTGCCTGCGACTCATAGTAAAGGGAATGTTTCATTCTACTACAGTGGTTAGCCGTCTTTACTGCATCTACATGTAATGGAATTATGCTGTACTACCTAACTGATTAACTTCTTTATTATAAACTTTTAATTATTACAATATTAATCACTTTGCTTATGGGATGCTGCGATACTTTAGCTGATTGGCAGCAACGTGTCAGCTCAACAGCCCATTCATTTCATTTTCACCTTTTACCTTGTACTTTATTAGTTCCACTAAAACAGACCACACAATGGAGGGAGGGAAAAATGCTATGACCACTTGAGATTGCATTAAACTTCCCAAACTACTGCGTGCATTGGCATGCTGTCACTTGAGCTTTTTATTGAATTGATTAATAGATTTGATTAGTGACAGCCAACTAGGAGTCGTAATTAAGTTGAATTTGTCGAGACTCAATGTGCTCGAGCTCAATTGTCAAACTTTGAATTCTTATGCCTACTCAATTCCAACTCAATAGGAACTCATGAGCATTTGAGTTAATTAATTCTTATTCTTACTCAATTCTTACCTGTGTTGGAAGCTATAACATTGGTCCCATACTGATGAAATATTTGAGGGTGGTTTTATTTTAATCTTACTATGGCTTAGTCAAATGGATATCGTGCTCCAAGCTCTTTTTGGATTGCTTTCTAGGATACTGCGTGTGACAACTTGATCATCTAAAACTATTTCCTCCGTCTCATGACTATATCATCAAAATTGAACGTACGACAACAAACCTTTGTTGCACTCATCTGGAGTTCGGTATTGAAACTTTCGGTAACCAAAGCAATACACCTGTCTTGTCATTGATCTCAAGGTCATAAAGGAGTAGACAGGAGCCGAGGATCTGAAGTTCTAGGAGTACTCTATTTCCCAGTTTCACTCAACATTGTTTGCAAGGCATCAATGCTTGTCCGCTTAAGCCCCATATTAAAGAGCAATGGGTTCCAAAGCAAGGCCAGGCTATCCCATGGACCATCCCTTCAAAAATTGACACCACTGCTGTGTCAGACTCATCATATGTATTCACTGAGTTCTAAAAGTGTAGAAATACAGAGTTTAGCAAGAAGGGTTACATTGATTAGAAAACAGTATCCATGTATCTCTGAATAGTGCAACTTTTTCGTCATGGAAGCAAATAGATCCAAATTAGGGGCTTTTTCACCAGTAATCACCACAAGAACATTCCCCTGACTTGAAGTGATGAAATCTGTTGGAATCCCTGACAACAACTTGACGGCCTGTGACCTTTGATACATATTTTGCAAAATCATGGCAATCCTTGCAAGCCCGGAGATTCTTGAAAACCACAATGGGGGCATTATTTGGGGTTGAAATAAGCCCAAATGCAATTGCAAGTTTCTCACTATGATCAAGAAGCTGTTCCTTTCGCTCCAGCAAACCCAATGATGCATCATCTTCGGTTAGAAATGAATTTTCATTGCTAGTTCTTGTAAATTTGAATTCCTGTAACTTGGAGTATATTTCTTCTGTTTGAGGATGATGCCTATCACCCACGATAAAACGATGCACTTTGCCATTGATACTAACCCAGCTGCAACTGACTTCCTTTCTTAGATCTCTTTCAGCCATCATTCTCCTATAACGAGCTGCTTCTTCCCAATGTCCAGATGAAGCATGCAAGTTGAACATGAGAACATATGCGGCAGTGTCCTCCGGATCCAATTCAAGGAGCCTTTCAGCTGCAATTTCACCAATTTTGAAATCCCGATGGATTAAGCACCCGCCCAATAAACTTTTCCAACTCATTGCATCTGGTTTGAATGGCATAGTTCTTATCAATTCAAGTGCCTCCTCTAGCTGCCCAGCACGTGAGTATGTATCAACCATGCAATCATAGTGATCAATAATGGGGTGTACACCATACTCACTACTCATTGATTCCAAATATTGCTTGGCTTCCGTTATTAAACCCGAATGGCTACAAGCAGTAAAAAGTGCAATAAATGTGACTGTGTTTGGCCTCACACCACAAGCCCGCATCTGCCTAAAAAGGCTTAAAGCTTCAGAAGCAGTACCATGGCAAGCACAACCAGCAATTATAGCAGTCCAAGCCACTGTATCGGGTTCATCTATCGATTCAAACACTTTATAGGCATAGTCTAATCTGCCACATTTGGCATACATAGTAATCAGGGCACTCTCTCCATAAAGGTACGAAACTAGACCTCTTTTAATTGCATCTCCGTGAGCTTGGGAGCCTAAGTTCAAATCTGCAAGCACAGAGCATGCTTGAAAAATACTAGTGTATATAAAATCATTCAAAACCACACCTTTACTCCTTAGAGAATTAAATATCTTAATGCAATCATCAAATTCACCGATTTGAGAATAGCCAGAGATTATAGCACTCCATGAAACATCATTCGGTTCAGATATCCTCTCAAATGCTCGACAAGCTGATTCCATACTTCTGCATTTAACATAGAAGTCCACCAGAGGAGTGCCAACTGTCACCTCGTATTCCAAACCAAGTTTCATGATATAACCATGTACTTGCCTCCCCATTTCCAGGTCCTTCAAGCCAGCACAAGCCTTGAGTGTAATTGAAAACACAAACTCGTCCAATTCAACACCTTCTTTCACCATGCTACAAAACAATTTTATGGCATGCTCTTGCTTCTCAGCTTTAGTGTACCCCACCATCAATCCAGTCCAAGTTACCGCATTCTTTTCATTCATCCTATTGAAAGCTAACTCAGCAATGTCCAAACAACCACACTTCACATACATATTTGTTATTGCAGTATCCATAGATACATTATCATAGAATCCCGATTTAATCACATGGCAATGTAACTGTTTACCAAGCTCCAAATATGAAGAGTCTAACAAAGAACTCAAAAGGCTAATGTAGATTGACGGGCTGGCTTCAATTCCCATGTTTTGCATTTGAGAAAACAACTTCAAAGCATCCTTTAAAAGTCCTTCCCGTGCAAAAGCGGATATAATTATAACCCATGAAGCCATACTTATTACGCGCATTTCATCGAACAATTTCCGGGCATCCCAAAAACTACCACAATCACAGTACATTTGGAGAACACGGCTCTCCAGAAACCCAGGTGGGTTTTCCACTGTTGTTCTCAATCGATCATGAATTAATTTTCCATATGATAAAGATCTTAACTTCCCAGACGTTTCAAGCAAAGATTCATATGAGCGAGGACTAACTGAAACACCGGCCTCGTCCATTTCTTCGAGAAATCTATGAGCTTCCTTGAGCTTTCCTTGTTTTGATAGAGATACTAAATGAACGTTTTCGAGACGGCCTTGTTGGAGTTGGGGGTTTTTGAGTGAAGAAGAATTGGATCTGAGAGACACCCATGTAGGAATTTGAGTATAATTAGCAGTTTTTATGGCGGAAAATTTGTCAGGTGGTAATGATACTTGCGAGGGACTTGAAGGTGGTAATGTAAGTCTAGCCATTTGATTGCTTACGATACGATTGACGAGATTCGAAGACCTAGATAAAACCACTAAGTATCCACAGGCAGAGGAATCTTATTATAACCTAAAAATTTATTCTAATTTATTGGCATAATTTCAATTGAACTATTGAATCCTAGACTAGTTAGTTATTGACCGAGCTTAAGGACTTCGGATGTGGCTCCTCTGCAGTTGGGGGAAAACAGCATCGTGTTGTTAGGTGTCGTTTTCATAAGTTTAAGCACTAAAAAAAATTATCACACAAACCGACACAATTTAGTAGAAAGTTTCACCAAAAAAAACCCCATCTTTGCACAAGACACTACTGCCCACGAATCTCTTTGAACTTCGAAACTCACTGGCTCTGGATTCTACAATTTATGTATGGCAATCGTCATCTTTGATTTCTAGCTGGGTTTTTGTATTTCTCAATAATGATNATATCACACAAACCGACACAATTTAGTAGAAAGTTTTCACCAAAAAAAACCCCATCTTTGCACAAGACACTACTGCCCACGAATCTCTTTGAACTTCGAAACTCACTCGCTCTGGATTCTACAATTTAAGTATGGCAATCGTCATCTTTGATTTCTAGCTGGGTTTTTGTATTTCTCAATAATGATTGTGTGAGAAGTCCTATTAATGTGTTTGTTTGAGGATAGTTTGCAATGAGACATGACAAAAGTACAAGTTGATGATAGTGTCTTGTGGTTGAAGCTGCATTATGAGGTTTTGGCGGGTTGATGGGTTGGGGATGTCAGGGATTTGGTGGCTTGCTGTTGTGGGTAGTTCATGAGGGTGTTAGGATTTAGGTTTTAATTGCAATGGACGATTTGTGGTGGGTGGTTTTTTTTTTTTGGTCGTGATGGTGGTTGAGTTGAGGACGTCATGGGTATAGTGGAGAGCTTTTAGCGCCAGGGAAGTGAAGGTGGTTTGGAGGACTTGAAGATGAGATGGTGGGTGGAGGGTGGCTGAAGTGGTGTGTGGGTGGTGCTGCAGATCGATAAAGTGCAGAAGGGTACAAGTAATATAGGAGAGAGGATAACTGATGAGAGTGCGGATGGGCATGAACATAGGAAGATAGGAAGAGAAGAGACGGTCATGGCAAGGGATGGGTGGAGGGAGGCAGGGGGCGGATCCGGGGCAAATTATAAATAATTGTTAAAATTAAGATAATAGCGGTAAAGCTGTTCAATTTATCACAAATATGTTGATATGTCGATTCTAAAAAGTCAATTAATTAATATAAGGTATTTCAAATATGATTTATAATAGCCAAAATTTAAATATAAAAATATTTAGTTATAAGGATATGAAAGAAAATTTTAATCTACTATAAAACACGCAAACTTTAATTTCAAGAGGTCAATCAAAAAGAATGTAGTCAATTGCTATTAACTTTAGAATTCAAATATAGAAATGCAATTCCATAAGAAATTCATGACAACTATAACAAATTGAAAAAAATCAAATCTTTAGTATAGTGTGTGCATGTATTTTGTTCTCCCCTAAATTTCTGATTTATTGATTAAATTATACTAGTCATGTTTGCTTGAAATTCAAACTTATAAAAGGAATTTATGAAAAAAAATCCCTTCTATTTTTTAAAATATGAAGAGTAATACGATTTGGTGACATAATGATGTGACAATGTAAATGTTTCCCATATTACTATCCTAATGGTATCAAAGGAGATACTATGGTAAAAGATGAAACAATTTAGGTCAAGTTACAGCTCTTCAAGATTGAGTTATAACTCAAAAATGATTAACCACGAAAAATACATATTTCAAAAGTAAAGGTAAACATTTTGAAGGTTATTCGTCATCGTCATAACATTTTATGATTCATTACAATGTCTATAATCGATCATGACATTTGTAATTGATCAAATAACCTTAAAAATTTACAACTTATTTATTAATAGTTGTAACTTAACCGTTAAAATTTTAATTTTCAATACAATTTCAAACATACCTCAAAAAAAATTCAGGATTGCACTAGGGGCAACTGCCCCCAGTGTAAATCCATCGTTGGAGGGAGGCGAAGATCGATTATGGAACTCCAAGGGAGAGTAGTTTCATGGTTGTGCATGGAAAACGGGGCGTATTGTTTGCCGTGCAAATTTTTAGGGTTTTTGTTTTGGAAAATTTTTTTATTATGCAAACTAATAAAAATGTCATCATTTTTAACTAACCGCACATGGTGCTGTTTTTCTCTAACTACAGAGGAGCTGCACCCGAAGACTTCAGGCACAGAGTAATAAAAAAAAATTGTCAATTATAAATATATTTGTATTCACACTAAAAATCAAATTACAAACATAGAAAAGAGGAAAAGAAATTTAATCACCAATTGTAGTGAGGGTGAGCGGTGGTAGTGGTAGTAGGAGACAGTGATTATTATGATGGACAACGACGACCGTTGTGATAGTGATAGCCCTGAATGGCAATAGTAATGGTGGTAGTGACAACCATAAGTGACGACGACAATGATAATGGGCAATAGTGATGGTGGTTGGTAGTGGTGGTGAGCGATGACGATGGCGACGGTGGGTTTAAGTGGTGGTGGACAACGACGAGTGCTAGTGGGTGACAACGGGTGGTGGGTGGTGGCGACTAACGGTGGTGGTGATGGTGATACGTGTAGTGGGGGTAGGTGACAATGATGGTGATCGATGATGGGTGGTGGTGGTTTGTGGTGGTAGATGTGGTGGAGGTGGGTGACAGTGGGTGGTGGGCGACGACAAATGATAGTGATAATAAATATAAGAATGAGATGATAATGGTGGTGGTGGTGGGTGGCAATGGTAGCGATCGGTGGTAGGTGACAACGATGGTGGTGGTGGCCAGGACGATGACGATGGTGGTAGTTGTAGCAGAGATAGTGGTGGGGTGGCAACGATGGCAGAGATGATGGTGTCGGTGGTGGGGTAGTGGCGATGATGGGTTGATGGTGGTGATAGTGGGGTGGTAGTAGTGAGGTGTTTTGTAGTGAAGTAATTTTAAAAAATTCAAATTATTATTATTTTCTTTTACTTTTACTTATTTATGTAGTAAAACTACTTTTAACTTATTTGGAAGTAATTAAAATAAGTTGTTTTAAACACTACCTTTTTTTTTAAAACCATCAGATTAACTTTAAAATAAAATTTAAAATGATCTCAACCGCTAAAAATAAAAATTATTTTTTAAGTTGTACTTTATTATATAAATTTTCCTCTTGTTGGTCAAGAATATGCATAAGCAAAAAATAGAAGTCTTACCAATAGAATCTCCTCCGCTAAGAGCAGTTAGTGGTATGGCAACTTTACCTCTCACCTCAAGAGGTCCGATACCGTGTTCAGCAAGGGTCGATGGCGCAATAAGCCCGGCGTACTTCTTCGAATGACACTCTGCTAGAAGGAGTCTCTCGATAGCATCAAGCTCAAGTCGAACACCTAAAACCAAAAAAGTAGAGGTCAACAATTAAAAGAAATATGATGGAAGGAAGCTCAGGTGAGACACCTCAGCACAAACTCACCCAAATTGTTTGGGCCTGACCAAGCCTGGGGTACGGGGAGGGTATCATTAGCATCCCTTGGGTTGAACTCCTAGCCCTTGCCAGACACAAAGAAGAAATAGTTTTTCCAACCCTTGTGGGAGCTCGGAAGGTGATGAAGTGTTGGGTCTTCACCCGTTTATAAATGTAAAGAAAGCGATTGATGGGGGAGAACTTAATGTTGAAAAAATGCATTAATAAGGGAACATAATGAGGGATGACCAAGCCATTCTTCTTGAAGAAGACCATGAGGCCTACAAGGGTACCCCCAAAATTGGGAGAAAGTTGGGGTTGGGCAGATATTGAAGTGTTAAAGGACATATTTTAGGAAAGGGCGAATGGGAACCTGAGCCTATTCTTAAAGGAGGCAAAGAAAAAGCAAGTCTTTTTAGAGAATATGGTGTCATATCAAATGTCCATACTAGGAGTCTAGACACGCATGCCCCAAGGAAAGCCAAATATGGCAGAGAGTGCACCCAGAAGAGGAGGGGCGACCTTGTAGGGCCCTGATACATCTAAGGCGCTCGGATTGGTCCTTAGTATCCCCAGTATTGCTGGAGGTCCCAGCTACGCCTTTCCTAGATATTTTTTTTCGAGATTTCTTGGGTTTCATAGTTGGGCCTAGAAGGAATAAGGGAGCCTCCACCCCAATAGCTTGGGCATCAAGGACATCGATCCCAAGAAAGTTGTCTATCTCCTCCCCTATATCCTCCAGATCCTCGACTTCGTCAAGATCTTAGGTCCGCCCTCTACGGCGAGGTCAAACCTCAAATTTGGGAGATCTGTCCACCATAGCTAGGGAGATAGAAGAATTAGTGGCTTCTGAAGAAGCAGACATAATGATGCAAGGAGGAAAATGACCAAAAGATGTGTAAAGAGAAGGGACATTCAAAAACAGTCCTAAAGATCTTGAGGGTCAAGACTCTAGCGACTAAAGAAGAAGATCCTAGCAGTAGCGTAGGGGTCTAAAAAAGGGGGAAGAAGAGTTAGAGAACAATATTGGCTCCTAAAATAGCAAAACCAGAAGGTCTAGAAGTGGAGTAACCACCTCGGATTTGTAGGATCTAGGGTTGAGCAAAAACCCTAGGAAAGAGAAGAAAAGAAGAGGGTAGGGAAGAAGACATACTTAGAAATTGAGGGTGGACAGTGATCAAGAACCCAAGAGGGACACCAAGAGTGAAAAATGCAAGCTTCAGAGAGACCTTCAAACATTCTGAGCACTCACAGAGCCATCCTAAACAACAAGGAGGAAGAAGAAGATGAAATCGCCAGAGGCAGAGAGAGAGAAGAGGGTTTTTTGGGTAAAGACACAGAGAAATTCGAAATAATGACAACGGCTTAGCCTGTAAAGGCATGTAAGGCGCGTATACATTCGGACACGTGGCACATAAGAACTAAACATGTGTGATAAACGAGACAGAAATGACTCATCACACGAGTGTAGCGCTGAAAATACT